AGGCATGTCAGACTTCGATTGGCCACATTGCGTTTAGGTTGTGGAATCCATTCACACTAAAGAACCGTTAATTTTTAACGGAATATTGACATGGCCATTAAATAAGGATTGATTTACCACCGATCATGAGTTTAAGGGGTCATTTGCTACTGATTTCAGCTGAGGGGATTTTTTGCCACCTCTTAACATGTCCAAGGGCTAATTTGCATGATTCGTCGATTATTAATACGGAATAGAACTTCAAACCTCCAACGGTCTTTCCCCACTTAGGGCAGAGTGCCCTAAGTGCCACTCCGTGACCCTGTCCACGTGGAGAACCCTCTCGAAGGTTTCTGGAACTTTCATTTCGTGTTCCACTGGCTAACCTTGGATAAGGAAGAAAACTTTGACGTAGGCCGAGTTTACGTCAGCAATGGTGTGGTTGTATATCGTTCTCATTGTTATTAATTTTATTGGAAATTTTGAATTATATCATATATTTTTTTTTTCCTGAGGTATAGGTCACCCATAAATTAATTAATAATTACATAATTTTTGCTACAATAAGTTAAATAGCTCAGAATAATCTTTTTTAAGTGAAAGTAGGAGGTCCTTTTTATGATTTGTAGATGAGATAAATTACGTTACGTGAAAGTATTATTTTTTATGGTATAAATTTAAATAAAAACTATAATTTGTATTAATTTATATAAAAAATAACAACAAAAATAATTTAATTTTCAATTTTAATGTCACATGCTTCTTTGGTTCAATTTTAAAAGATAAAATTTTGAATTTGAGAGTTTAAATTTACTTATCCACTATTTTTTAAAAATATTATTTAATGGACCTTTTTCTATTTTACTAATTATCACATAAATTAAATATAATGATTAATTATAGATAAATATAAAATTTTATCAATTAATTATTATATTTTTATTTTTTTAAAAATAAATTTACTAAAGTTAAAAAAAAAAAGAGTAGTAGATGAATTTAATTCAATAGATGATTCTCTAGCATTAAAGTTAATTTTTGCTCCCTTTACATCTAATTTAAACACATGTAAAAAAAAAAAAAAATTCCCTTCTTAGTAGCTAAAGGGTTTTTAGAACATGTTTGGATTAATTTATAAGAATTTTTATTTTTTTTATATTGTTAATCAATGATAAATTTAAATTTTTATTAGAAAAAAAGTTTAAAAGTTATTTTTATAAATAAAAAAATGAGTAAAAAAAATTATAAAAAAAATTTAAATTTGAAACTTTTAAATTTTTATTATTTGAGATTTTTTTAAAGTTAAAAAAATTTAAAAATATAAATTTTTAAAAATAAATTTAAATTTATGAAATATAAACATATAAAAAAATTAAAATACTTATAAGCTAAATCAAAGATACTCTTAGTGTTTTACTTTATTGGTACGTTAAGAAACAGGGGTAAAAGTCAAATAAGATTATATATTTCCTCTACATGTGTTTTTTCAAATTTTTGGATCAAAAGTTTGAAGTATCTCATGCATCATCCAAAATAAAATGACTTTTACTGCAAAGTAAAACATTGTTTCACTTTATATTCTTCCTTTAAAAAAAAACTGAAAAATAAATAAATACTAGCACTAAAATATATGTCACTAAAATTTACATTTAAAAACTCTCTTATTTTATAGTTTAAATTTTTTTTACTTATAAAAAAATTATCTTTAGATGAAGAGAGATCTTTTAATATTAAAATTTTATTATTGTAGATTTTTATTTTATAATTTAGATAGTAAAAAGTTTTCAAAAGTACAATTGTTCATAGACTTATTGTTAACAAAAGAAAAGATTCTTTGGTGGTTCTTCCTTAATAAAATCTACAGAGACACCTAAAAGTTTTGAAGAAAATTACAAACTCAGAATATGGACAGGTAGGTATATACATTTTATAATTACTCCCTCTGTTCCTAAATATTAGTCGTTTTAAGCATTTTCACCAGGATTACAAACTTTATTTCAAACTTTATTTCACCAGGATTACTCCCTCTGTAATAAACGGAAGTTTCTCGGATGGTTCTTACAAACTTTATTTCACCCATGCCGTAACGATGAGGAGATGTTCGGTGAGACGATTAGTTTTTATTTAAAAAATAATTAAAATATATTATTTTAAAAAAATTGATAAAT